ACTGAGGTTGTATCCTCTTCGCAAAGGTAAAATAAGGGTCAACTTAAACGGCCTTGTGAAGGGCTCTGCCATGTATATTTATAGATCATGCTATATATCATCTTAAAGCTCTATCCTTGCAATTTAATTTCTCTAGTTTAATTATCTATCTTGGCCCACAATAAGCGGCGGCGCGTTCAGGTTGAGAAGATTTAGGGCAATTTTGAAAAAAAGTGCACATATTGAAATATCTTAGTTCAGGATATTGAAACTATGTGTCTCCGGAAAGAAAAAATTTAGATTGGTAGTTTGAGTTTATCGATCCCAAACTAGTGGATCAGGCATTTGATGGACTGATCTAACAATTATTTTGGTCTTATTTTTTATTGTTTACTGCAACTTTAATTACAGGCGAGGACGTCTTAAATAACTTCTCAAGATCGTCTAAGTCGCTCGACTTCTTTGCCTCACTTCCGGATCCACATTTGGAAATGTAGTGGTTGTTTATATTATAAAGCTATTAAAGGGATAGCGAATTTTATCATCCCGAACATGAAAATATACTTCAAGATAAAAAAAAATTATGGAAACACAAACGGCACTGCCGAAGAAATGTGTTGTGCGTTTAAATTAGGTTGACCCGCGGCTGAAGGAATTGGAGAAGTCTGAATATTGCCATAAAAATAAACATAATTTTCAATTAAACGAGAGATCGAAAACATTTGAATGAGACTTTAATTCTAATTCAACCGCAGACGGTAAAATTAAAATAAGATACTTATCTCAAACTTGTGAGAAAGATTGTTGATATTTTCCTTGATAAACTGTAAATTACAACTAGGAAGTGAATGCAAACTCACATTTGTTAAAAGAGAATTGCAAAATTTGTTTTGTTTTCCATTTAAAGCGGAATAATAAAAGTTCACGGTTATGACAGTGGCAAAGAGAGAAAAAAAATTAAGCCAAAGCCTGTTCATATCTCTAGTACCTCGAAAATTAGAAATTCGCGAAATCTGTGACCAACAAATTGAGTGATGTACATGAAACCTTGTTTTCCGCTAAATTTGAAGGTCATGACAATCTGGAAGACGTCAAAGCAAATTCTTTTCACTTCAAATTGCATATGAACAATTATATCGATCAATCATGGTAAATGTGCATCGCCGAATGAGGCCTTCGATCAGGCCATCTTCTTGGAACAACGACAAGACACCATCCAGACGTTAGATGGAAAGCTTCATCTTTCGACAAGCAGGGTCCAGAAGTTGGCAGATGCTGGTTTGTCTCATGATACGCTACAATCTCTGTACAAGAAACTCAACATTAACGACCTCTGTGAAGCACTGGCATTGGTGCCAACTGCAAAATCAACTTCTCACCATGAATCGAATTTCGCAAGAGAATTCTCTCTGGAATACTCTTACATTTCCAACAGTCGTAACGATAAGCAGTCAAAGTATCAAATGATGACTCTTTTTCAGGAATGCGTAAAATCACAAAACAATGCGAATCCATCTTCAGAACGTACGCTCTTTTCCTCGCCGAGGGCATCCATTTGATTAATTGCGCGGACGCGGACTCGTCCTCGCGAAGATGAGCCGTTAAGTCAGCGGTATTGTTTAAAACGCGTGACCGGATGTAAAAGTGTGAGCTAAAATTGCAAAAAGCGGAAATAAAGCTTGCTAAGTGGATGAGCTAGTATCTCGAAAATTAGCTCGGTAGCCTACCCTGATTTTTTTTGTATAAATAATATTCATCATTATCGTTTGTGAGGAGAAATAAAGAAAATTATCAAGCGAAAATCTTTCTACATCTTGTAACAATATTTTCCCGAAATAACTCAAGTTCTACAGGACAGTTTTTATATCACGTGCAGGGATAGAGAATGTGATTATGTTTTACAAATTTGAAACAAAAAACTAGGTCACTGAGTTGGTTTTTGAGATATCTTTGAAAAACCGAGTTTTAGAGGGTCTTTTAGCACCGCTGTTGTGTTGCTATGGCAACAGATAAAGCGTGACGAACACCCTTAAAAAATTTTACAAATATAATCTCATACAGATGTCAAAACATTACCCTGATGATAAGTTTGACAGTCCTGAAGTCTTTTATTATTTGGCACTTGCTGTTAATTGTGGAAAGCCCTTAAGATAAATTATTCTACAACAAAGTTTTCTTCTTAGTGCTTGGACCGGTTTTAATTGTAATGTATCTTTTGCTCAACTTTACAGCTATGCCAAGGAAATTAAAACTTTCTCAGAATTAAAGGCGCCAGGAAAAATGAACGTGAAAAATAATATAGTTGCTAAGTAACCATTTTGGTGGTGAAAAGTGCGAGAGACTCCTTTTAATCAGTAATTGTTGCCTAGGAGACGCTCAGAATGAAAAGAAAATAAGTTGCGATATGTGATTAGTGTAAACTGATTTTAAAAATCGTTCAAAAACTCTTTTAATGATTTCGACAAATTATTATTAATATTTGACGGAATAACTTCTTGAAAAGGCATATGCTAATTTTAACGGCGATAAAATCGCTGTTTAAGTGCAAACAACCTGTTAGGAACAAAAAGATTAATCCGCGGATTTTGATTCGATAGATTTGTCACCCTAAAACATTTTTGCTGTAATGCCTGCAATATTCCACCTAAAATCTGTCATTTGACGTAAAAAATTGATGGATCAAGACAAGAGAATATCAACTGATATTCCCTTGATCAAGATAGTTTCTTGATGCTAGTTTGATGTTAAAACTATATCGTTAAGTAATGGTGGGAGTTAGTTTGTTTTTTGAATGCAAATGTATGCTAATATTTTTTTGTTAAAAAAGCTCGTCGCTCATTTGACATCGGAAGTGGATGCTGGCGGAAGCTTTGGATAATAACAGCATTTTAGGTAATCCTTACTTTGTAAAGTTTTTCTTTTATTTCTTAAAAAGCTGAACAAAGCAAGGATGTTTTGCTAAATTTGTTTAAATTGATTTTCTGAACAATGAAATTTTAACTTGACCTTCGTTGAGATGTTATAAAGCGTGATATTCATTGCAACATCGCGTAGTTTGTTTTGATAAGTGTTCCATCTCTTTTAAATTAAGTCTGAAGTTAAAACTTCTGTTTTGTAGCTCAAATTATCCTAAATTCTACTTAAGAAGGGTTGGATAATCGTTGTTCTCTACTGACACGAAAATAATCTGGACAAAAAGCCCTCGAGTGTATGTAAATTTTCCTTCGCTTTCGACTGGTCATTTTGACGTAGAGGTTTTAATAGTGTTTGCTGTTTCCTCCGTTAGGGTTTCAGTTGTCGATAATATCATTTCGGTGACAGATTTTGCTTGAATTTCGTAGGCCAGAATTTTAAGTCCAACCGCTCATTTAGAATTGCAATTACACTAGATGAGTTTTAGACATTCAGTTTTAGAACGATAATATTCGACGTGATTTAGTTTATATAACTGAAAAGCGTTTCGCCCAGTTTAAAAAGCGTCGCACCAAAATATACTGTTTTTCCCTGAGCATTATCTGAGGACAATTATTTTTTCACTTGAATTGATCCTGCCTAAATAGTTTAAAAGCTAGCATAAGAGAGTAAAGTGGTTATATATTGTCTCTGAATTTTAATCCCTAAGGAAACATAACTTAAGAACGGAATATTGCTCTGCCGTGATAACACGACTGAAGTTTGTTTTGACACATTTGATCAAGACTGACTGACAAGAGTGATATGTGTGTCTAAAGTCGACAATGAATGCAAATGACTTTAACTTATTTAAACAGGCAGCTCATGGTTGGTATAAAACCGCAATGGTAATCACTATAATCTCTTCGTGAAGAAGTGATCTTTGTCTACTGCGATGCAACTACAGCACGACAAACATGGAGTTCTGAAGCTGAGTCTGGCAAATCCAAAGGCGCAAGTTTTGTTTCCAACCGGTCATTACACTTACGCTTTTGGAAACACGCCGGGGATAAATTTAGCAGAGTACTTCGGAACGTCTAAGAGTGACGAAAATCTTGACTTTTTATTGCTTGGCGCAGGAGACATTCGAAATCTCTTGTTCACGGTTTCAGAGCTATCCCAAAGACAACAACCACAAATCCCAGCATCGCTTCACTTTCACTTAAACGATCATGACCCGTCGATAATCGCTCGCGATGTTATCATCTTAGAGACAGTGCGAACGATTGACCCAAACTGTGACTTGGATGTGGATTTTTTGTGGAATTTATGGTATAACCTTTCACTTTCAAGCGAAGAATTAGAGCGATTCCAAACGATTCTGCAGACACTTACATCACCAAAGCAAGGCGACGTTAAGTCGCAATTTGGGTCTATCAGCGTGTTTACAGAGTGTCTACAAATTTGGAAAGACTGGCTTCGGTCAGAACTGGACATTAATACTGTGTCGCTTCAACGGCGAAGATTAATGATCACAGGGCTAAACTTGGCGCATCAGGAAACCCAGGATGCTCGACAAGACCACCTTAATTTTCTAACAGCAGTAACATCATTGACAAACACAACAGTTAAACAGCTGTGTACGCTGACAGATGAGCACAAGCTTGGTCGCAAATGTCTTCATGAGCATGGTTTCGTTTATCAAGAAATATATTCATACTATTGGAGCGGTACTACACCGGATGTTCAGAACAGTTCTAAAGTAAACCCAACTCTCATTCGCCCGTTCGAGCAGAAATGGAGAGTGCATTATGGGAGCTGTCCTTTTTCTGGTTTTATTCCAATTGATAGGTGAGTTGTCCCCTCAGTAAAGTTTGTTTTCACATGAATAAATAGAATGAAAATGATGACTGTATTTGAGTTTGCTCTCTTTACTCGATAATTGAGCCCAAATTAACATTTTTTTCTCTTTTCTAACCACAGATACGATGGTTTTACCATTGCTGATCCTAGCACTGAGTTTGCAAGACGTTTGTCACACATAAACAACCTTATTCTCGAGGTCATCGCAGAGTACTCAGTTGGAAGCTTACTGAAACCACGACGGCAACGGCAACGGGGACGTGAAAAAACAAAAGATATAATTGGCCGAACAATAGCTCAGCACGTGCGTTTTAAAAATCTGTACATTTCTTAGCCTTCAGTTTGCAAAACAACAACGTGAAATCATCAAAATTTGTATCGTCTGCGAACGGAAATCGAAACGACAAATTATTTCAATTTCCATTTGGAACTCAACGTTGCTTTTATACGTTATGCTGAAGTTGAGGTGTGCCGCTGTATGAGAGGGTTAACACATGCAGCCATTTTTTTAAATTCTAAGTAAAAGTAGAAATTCATTTTTCAATCGACGTCGTCCTTGGCGCTGCCGTCCTGACAACTCAAGGTCCGTGCTAGCTCAGTCGTTAGAGCATTGGAGCGAGAAATCTTAATGGCAGGGGTTTAATAGCTCGAGGGGTAGTCAGATGTTTGTTTTTTGCTTTACGCACGTGACAAAACGGATAACTTTCTTTAAAACGCGGCTACTACACGAAGCGCACGAACGAGTTTTTAGTTGTAGGTGTTGAATAGAGGTTTTGTACAGCAGCCATGTTGGATGGCAGGAACAATGAAAATATTTTGCATAAGAAAGTAAAATTTTTCCCAAAATTTTTAAGCGGAAACTTAAAAAGGCAATTTTTTTTACTCATTTACCATAATTCATTTATCATGCTCAAAATTTTTTTTTTTTGGTCACAGGAATAGGCTCGAAAGCAACAAATCAATAACAAAAGTTTGTAAGGAAAAGCTCAGGGAGTTGGTGGAACATTTTCAAGGCTTCGTCAAAGGTAGAAGCAAGCGTCTCCCGGTAAAGGTGAGCATTAAAGAAAGGATACAAAGGTTCAAGTTAACTGTTGAGAAAATACTTACCTCATACTTTTTAGGCTCTTTGCATCCTC